TACACATATATATAAAATGTCTCAGGTATATATATATATCCTTAGGTATATACATAATGTCTCAGGTATATATACACATATATATAAAATGTCTCCGGTATATATATATATCCTTAGGTATATACATAATGTCTCAGGTATATATACACATATATATAAAATGTCTCAGGTATATGTATATCCTTAGGTATATACATAATGTCTCAGGTATATATACACATATATATAAAATATCTCAGGTATATATATATATCCTTAGGTATATACATAATGTCTCAGGTATATATACACACATATATAAAATGTCTCAGGTATATATATACCTATATAATATCTCAGGTGTATACATATGTATATATAATGTCTCACATATATATATATTTAAATAATGTCTCAGATATATATGTATATATACACATATAATGTTTCAGGTATATATACATAAAATGTCTCAGGTATATAAATATATAATGTCTCAGGTATATATATATAAAATGTCTCCTATCTATGTATATATAATGTCTCATATATATATAATGTGTATATATATGTCCTATATATGTATATATAATGTCTTATATATATATACACATATATATGTATATATATATAAAATGTCTCATATATAATGTCTCAGGTAGATATATAATGTCTCATATATATATATAAAAGTCTCAGATACATATATATATATATAAAATGTCTCAGGTATATATAAAAAGTCTCAGATATATATACATATAATGTCTCAGGTATATATATAATGTCTCAGATATCTATATCTATATATATATATAAATGTTTCAGGCATAGATATGTATGTATGTGTGTATATACATATATATGTGTGTGTGTATATATATATCTGAGACATTTTTGGATCCACAAATATAGATCTGAATCATTGTTTTTAAAATAATTTTGTTGTTTACTTAATATAATCTATGCTTATTGTAAAAGTTTAAGCAATATAGAAAAATACAACAAAAAAGCAATAAATCATCCTAATCTTGTCACTCTGAAATTACCAATTGCTATATGTTGACAATTATTCCAGATACTTCTCTTTGCCTACATATAGATAGGAGAATAAACTGTTTTTAAAAATTAAACATTACTATCTATACCAGTTTAAAATAAAAAGCTTTATACTTAATTCGATTTGAATTTTTAAAACCTACATACACATAGTAACATACACAAATGTTAAGTGTACACCTCAGTGAAGTTTTACATCTGTGGACACCCCTGTGGTGTAACCCAGAGATAGGACAAGTCTCCTTGTCACCAGGAGACTTCCTAATGCTTAGCCCCTGTCACTAGTCTCCTACCTCCCTATACGGGGAATATTTGTTTTGTCTTCTTTAGCTTTATATAAATGGAAATCTAGTATATTTTCCTTTATATCTGCTTTCATATGCACAGTGTGGGTCTGTGATATTCATTCGCATGGTTTTACATGTTGTAATTTTTAAAATTTAAGTTGAGTTTAACAGAAGAAAAATATGCTGCTGATGTGAAACTAAAGAAATCGCTGTATTCGATCACTAATCTCTCAGTGCAAGAAATAGTAATTTATATAAAGTTTGTTTAAGATTAAGAGAAAAGATTTTAAAAATTAAGTGATTAGACATCAAAATTGGTGGTTGTTGTCGTTTTTCAGTTTTGGACAGCATCAGTTGACTCCTGATTGTGAAAGGTGACTAGGTCGCTGTGCATCTGTCTCTTTCCCCTTCTTTCCCCCACATCTCTCTTTGTTTGTTCTATCACTCTGCTCAAATTTATACCATCACATTCTGCGTGGCAACCAGAATTTTCCCAGATGTTTGGTTTCATTCTCCATGTAACTGAATTAATTGTTGACGACGATCCTTTTTCTTTGACGTCTCCCTCCCAGAGTTATTTATTTTTATTTATTTCTTGGTCGGCTAGATTTGATTATTGAATTGGTTTTCCAAGAAGGACTCATGAATTGTTCATATTTGCAGATGAACGCTGCTGCCTTTGTGCTTGCTTGACAAATTTGTGCTGAGTATCTCTGAGTCATACTTAGACCCTCAGAGTGTCTAGAGATTGCTCCATTGTCTCGTGTAATAAATGTTTCTGTGGACAATTTGGAGCCCAGCCTGATTTTTCCTTCTTTTGGTGACTTTTTTTCTGGCTGAACGCAGGAAGAACTCTTTCCTGTTCAGCAACTGAACTAGACAATGTGTCGATATCTATTGTTTTTTGTGTCAGTTTTCTGACATAGAGACCATACCCTTAAGTGTACATTTTTAAATCCTCACTTCAAGGATATTTTCTTTACTTTCTTTTTGACAATTCTGAATGCTCCCTTGGGTCTCTATTTATTGGACAGCCTTATTCAGCCGAACCAGCTGTCCTCCTGCTGTTGTTATCTGCCTTTCATTTCTACCTTAAGTCTGATTGTTTCTGTATTGGTAGATATTGCTCAGAATCCTCAGGATTGTTCTTATAGTCCTTCTCTAGTACTGGCAGCGGTGGAGGGGAGGGCAATCTTAGAAGTGGTACAAGACTGTCACGAACTTTCTGCATTTTCTTTGCCCAATGCTTTTTGACATTTATAACATAAGTTTGAGCTCCTCTTATAAGCTGGTTAAATTTTTGAGTTCTTCTTCCATTTTTTATAACAATTAAAAAAATATTTTTAATTTTTAAAAAATAAAGTAAATAAGTAGACAGATTCTGTGTTACGACTTCACTTTACCATCTTTATGTGGGAGTTCTGAATCATTTTCAAAGTTGGATAATATTTCATCATTTGTATGTATATGCAATAATTTTATTTAACAAATGCCTTGTTGATGCTTGGGTATATTATTTTCTTTTTTAAAAACTATTGAAAATAACTGTGTATGTGCTGATGGGAGAAATTAAACAAAGCCTAAGTAAATGGAAAAATAACATTACCTCCGTGGATTAGAAGACTCATTTTGTTAAGATGTCAGTTATATCAAACTGATTGATAGAGTCTATGCAATCCGAATCAGCATATTTTTGTTGAAATTACCAAAGATTATAAGTAAATACAAAGGATCTAGAATAGCTAAAAGGATTTTGAAAAAGAAGAACAAAATTTGTAGGCTTCATTACCAGGATTTTAGGACTTATTAGAAAGTTAATGTTATCCATATACTATGTTATTAGCAAGGAATAGATATGTAGATCAACGCTACAGAATAAAAGTTCAGAATATATTCAAAACTCTATGGTAAATTGATTTTTATGTTTTTATTATGCTATAATTTACATGGTAAAACCAATCATTTCCAGTGTTTAGTTTTACACGTTATAACAAACCTATTCCGTTGTATAAACACTACCATAATCAATAGTTGTAAAACGTAAGTGAACTGCATTGACATTTCCTTGACTAGATCCCCGTTTCTCCCTGGCATCTTCTTAATGCAGCAAGCATTTTCTTTAACATTTTCTTTTAGTTCTTGATTTCTGTCTGAACTTTTTCATTGCTTCTCTTATTGGTCTACCCAATTCTCTTTTGAAAATAATCCTTTGTCTTCTCTGAACTGCTTTTAGGAGTTTTAATCTTCGATTTTCTGTAGTTTTGCTTTGATGTGTGTAAGTACTGTTTTCTTTATATTTAACTTTCTTGGGGTTCATGGTCGTTCCTAAATCTGTGGCTTGATGTGTTTCACCATCCTTAGAAAATCCTCAGGTTGTATCTCCTCAACCGTTTTTCCTGTAGCATTGTCTTTGTTCCTGGCACCCTGGCAATAAAAACGTTTTACATTTCCTGCTTATCTTTACTCCTAGAATTCAGATCTCCACGGCCCCACTCTAAAGCATCTGAGCAAGTTGCTTTAATGGGTCCTAGACTCCAGCTTTCTTTTAACCCTCTGAAGTTGCTCGAAATTCTGCTCTGCCTCTCAGCAGTCTATTCAGGAATCATTAAACATTTCCAAGGGAAAAGTCCCAAATGCCAGGCTCAAATCTAGGTATTTCTGGCTTTTCCTAGACCATGGAAAGAGAATCCCTTAACTAGCTTATTAGCTCTCTGATGTTTTCAAGTAGACTTAAATACACACACACATACTCTCACATGTATGTATGTACAGTAGACCCTCAGTAAATTGACCACCCAAGGGATTGTAACAAATGGTCAACATATGGAGGTGGTCAACATAAGGAATTAGGCCTCCTGTACTGATCCAATGTGGTTCATGTCCAGTCTATGGCAATTAGGTCAACTTAAGGTGGTCAGTGTCCTAGGAGGGGGTCAACTATGGAAGCTCGTGTGTGTGTGTGTGTGTGTGTGTGTGTGTGTATAATTCCATCTTTCTACACACA